TATATATATATATATATATATATATATATATATTTCCTCCCCAAAAACTAAGCCCGACCACATAGTTTCATAGTAGAGCACAGGTATCGAGCTAGTAGTCTAATATTTCTGAAGTTTTCACTGAACAAGAAAATAATAACAATCATAAATCCATAAATAAACAAATCCAGTCAAAACATCTTCTAATCTAGATGATTGTGCAGCCAATAGTAATAATAATATTCTTATTTAATCAACATCTGCCTATCCCAGGACCTTTGGAAGGACACGATAGCTAGACAAAAATGCCAAACCGAGTCTAAAAATCTGGCTAGTGCTATGTGTACCCAACTGTAAATAATCCCTTTTTTTGCTTCTTTTTGCATAAAGTTTCACCAAGTAATAGGTATGCAGATGGTGTATCTCTTATTTATATGTAATACGGTCTTCTTGGGTACCAACAGGAACAACATCATCGTCTGTTGGTGCTTTATCCTTCCACTCTGGTTATTGTATCTGAAGAACGTAACGGCCTCTACTTCAAGGTAAGACAAATTCCTTGCTGGTGTTTTCTTTTTCTCGTGAGGTCATTTGGGTTGATAAAAGTATATATAGAATTCAGAATAGAATAGAATAGAATAGAATAGAATAGAATAGAATAGAATAGAATAGAATAGAAGAAGAAGAAGATAACAAAATAGAATAGAATGGTATAGAATAGGAAGAAGAAGAGGAAGTAGAAGAATAGAATAGAATAGAATAGAATAGAATAGAATAGAATAGAATAGAATAGAATAGAATAGAATAGCCCCCTCCCCCCTGCTTAGGCAGGAAACCCTACATCATTTCAGACAAAGGGTTATCCAATCTCTGCTTAAAAACTTCCAGGGTTGGAGCATTTATAACCTCTGGAGGCAACTCATTCCACTGGTTAATTGTCCTCATGGTTAGGAAATTTTTCCTTAGTTCTAGGTTGCTTCTCTCCTTGATTAGTTTACATCCATTGCTTCTTGTCCTGCCCTCAGGTGCTTTGGAGAATAGCTTGACTCCCTCTTCTTTGGGGCAGCCCCTCAAATATTGGAAGACTGCTATCATGTCTCCCCTAGTTCTTCTTTTCATCAAACTAGACATTGTTCTCACGGTCAGGAAATTCCTCCTTAGTTTCTAAGTTGCTTTTCTCCCTCATGAGTTTCCACCCCATCGCTTCTCGTCCTACCCCTATGGAGGTTTTTGCAGCTTTACCCCCTCATATAAGACAAAAAGCAGATGAGATTGCACGTTACAGAGATAAATCTTCAAAAGTTCACTTGGACTTTTGTAGTCTATAACAAGCGATGAAATCTAAACCGGCTTGTTCTGGCTTATTTCATTTTCTGCCTCGCCTAGCGTAATTTCAGGAGCGTTGTTGCACTGATCCCATCTCAGCCACTTCCTCCAGCGGGCACGGGGTGCCCTGGCAAGGGGGTACAAAGGATCTCCAAAGGATGCAGGAGGCACCCTGTCCCTTTAAAAAGAAAAAAAAAGGTGGAGGGGGGGGGAGAAGAGAAAAATAAAAGAAGCACCCGCCTTTCCTTCTCCTAAGAAAGCCGACGGGTGTCTGAATAGTTGTGGTTACGGCCGCCGTCAGCAAGGGTGGTGCAGCCACATTCCTTGAGCGGTGGCGCAAGACGGCCAAGCCCGAACGGTAGCCGAGTTCTCACGGAGCCAGCCAACCTATTTTAAAGAGTTGCAAGGTTGCAAGTGGGGCCTTTGGGTGACTCAGCAGCCCCCCCCCCAACCCCCAGCATCCTGGCAGAACCGAGGCAGGCATCTCTGAGGAAGCAATGGATAATTGTGTGTGTGGGGAGGAAACATGGCTACTTCCTCAGCCAGTTTTGGCCAAAAAGTGGGCCAGTTTTGCTTTTCTTCCCTGCTGCTTCGTTGGTGCTATTTGGACTCATCCCAGATGTGGGAGGTGAGCTCTTGTTGTCTAAACTAGAAGCAATCCAATGCTTGTCATTTAAATGGATGTCTGTAGAGATTCTCCGTCATCCAGGGTTACGGTTGAACCAAAGGGGCTTTTTTTTTTTTTCTGGTGGTGTTTTTTCTTTTCTTTTGAAGATGTTTTGCTTCTCATCCAAGAAGCTTCTTCAACTCTGACCGAACGGTGGGGGAATGGAAGGATTGATACTCCTTGCAGGCTACTAGTCATTTGCATCCTTTTAGAGGGTCCTTGAGGCCACTTGGAGGTTTTTCTGTGTCCTCTGGGGTCACCTGAGTGTTGTACATGGTTCCTGTAGCCTGCAATTTATTTTTTCCCTCTGCAAATCCATCCTTACTCCCACACCGTTCATCCCAAATTGTATGACTAAAAAGTCTGTAGAGAGATTATCGGTCATACCAGGTGTCCCAAAGAGGGTTTTCAAAAATCAACTGGACTTTCTTTCTGGGTTTTTTTTTCCTTTTGAAGACATTTCACTTCTCACCCAAGAAGCTTCTTCAGCTCTGACAGGAGAGCTGGGAACGGAAGGATCGATATTCCTTGCAGAGTGCTGGTCATTTTTCTTCCAAAAGAAAAACAACAAGAAGAAAGTCCAGCTGCCTCCCAGAAAAGCACCTTTTGGGACTCAAAATGAATGTACTCCTCTGCTAGCTTTTGAGAGTTTGCTATCAAGCCACCCCGAAGGTTGGGAAGCCGTGCCTGGTTAGAAATAGCTCAGGAACGTTTTAAAATTCCCCAAAGGGGGGGGGGCTTTGGATCTGACAATCAGAACGCCCCCCCCCCCGAACCTGTGGGTTTCTTTCTCCCGACCAGCCCCATTGCTCTGATTCTGCCAAGGACACAGAAGCAACTCTGCCCTGCGACGGTTTTGGGATGCCTTTTAAAAATAGGCACAGGAGTGTGGGTCGGCGAACATGTGTTGCAGAAACTGCCTGTGGCTTTGGCAGGGGGTTGGGGAGTATGCGCTAGGACCCAGCTGTTGACGAGAGCTGGCTGAATAGGGGCTTTTTCAAAGGACATTTGGCCTCTGGTAGCCGCGGTGGCGCAGTGGTTAGAGTGCGGTCCTGCAGGCCACTTCGGCTGACTGCCATTTGGCGGTTCAAATCTCACCCAGGCTCCAAGTTGAACTCAGCCTTCTGTCCTTCCGAGGCAGGTCAAATGAATCATCCCTCCCTCCCTCCCTCCCTCCCTCCCAGTGGTTAGAATGCACTACTCCAGGCTAACTCTGCCCACTGCCAGCAGTTCGATCCTGACCGACTGGCTCAAGGTTGACCCGGCCTTCCATCCTTCTGAGGTCAGTGAAACAAGGACCCAGATTGTTGGGGGGGCAAGAGGCTGACTCTGTAAATCTCTTAGAGGGGGCTGTAAAAACATTGTAAAGCGGTATATAAGTCTAAGTGCTATTGCTATTCCTATTCTATTCTTCATTCCTCTATTCTATTCTATTCTATTCTATTCTATTCTATTCTATTTTCTATTC